CCAAGTTGAAATATCCTGAAGCATTTTCTGCCTGTGACCTTGCCTGTCCCATGTAGGAATGTGCAGTTGGAAACAGTCGCCACAGATTTTTGGGAGACACTGTAACATCCCAGCTGCTGGAATACAAAATTGCTGAGGTGTTTTTGCCTTGATGAATTGATTTTCCCATGGGTTTAATCCACTCTGGTCAGTATAATTTAATTTTTCCTTTGTCCTGTGTGGATTAACTGTCACCTGCATTTCATGTGGAGGAAGGGAGCAGCCTTTGTTGTGGGGTGGGGAAAGGAAAGTTCTGAGAGTAATTGTGAGGGAAAATCAACGTCACCCAGTGGCAGATGGTAAATGGGAGCATCATCTTACAGTGGCAAGGGCCAGGCATTTTGGAAATGTGAGTTGCAGGCAGAGTCATACATGATAGAACAGTTCACAGTCCTTGTTTTCCTGGCAGGGAAGCTGATAGAGGGGATTTCTCTTCATTTTCCCTTCAATTTCCCTTTCTTTCCATAACTTCCCAACCTGCTCTGTGTTATCAGTGGGTCCTGTGATACCACAGACAGGAATCCCATGGGAATTAAGAGCAAGTTAATGAGTTTAGTCCCTTAAAGGCAGCTACTTCCACACATTTATCCGTGCTCCAGAGGTGTACATGGAATCACGCTGCCAGCAACATAGGTCTGGCCCAGGAGGTGAAATTAGGGACAAAAGGGATATTGTGCAAGTGTGTGTGACCCCACAGGCAGCTGTGCCAGTACCTTGGGAATTCATCCTGTGCTCATTCCAGAGATTTCACCTGCAGAGCTGCTGAGGAGGATCTTGGGCTGAGCAAGCTGCTGTCACCCCAGGCAGTTCCCTGTGGAATTGGATCTTTGTCCATCTCCCTTATCCTGGGAAAGCTGCAGCTGTGCCTGTGGGACAGGAGTGCTGCCAGGGCTGTTGCATCAGAAGTGGCAGCCCAGGTTCAGCTGTGTCCAGCTCCATTCCCACTGTTTGCTCAGCTCTCCCATCCTGCCTTTCCCTGGACACACAGGAGCTGTTGTTCCGTGGATGTGTTCCAGGTGGGGCTGATCCATCTGTCTGTCTGCAGTTTTTCCTGTTGTCCTCTAGGAGTTGTGTCTGGGAAAGAGCTTGGGAGGCAGCTTCAAAGGGACACAACATAAAATGGGAGTTGTGGGTAAAGTCCTGGGTCTGGTGTCACATTAATCAGTTTGTCCTTGTTCCTATCAGGAATGGGGAATTCCCTGCCTGTGCAGGTGAGTGCCAGTGGAGCAGGTTCAGTGAGATGCCTGAATCCAGCAGGGACTGCAGGACAGAGGAGATACTGAAGCCAGACCTGTTGGTGTATTTAGAAACTCAGATTTCCCTCTGTGGTTTGAGTTGCCTTGGAATGAGGCTGGGCTGGAGCAGTCCCTGGAGGGTGAAGGGATGAACAGCACCTGGAGAGCAAAAACCAGGATCTGTCCTGCCGGAGTCATGAGTAATTAATAACCCCAGCTAGATTAGGTGTAGGGGAAACTTCTGTTATTGTGAGATTGGAGAGGCCCTGGCACAGGTGCCCAGAGCAGCTGTGGCTGCCCCTGGATCCTGGAAGTGTCCAAGGCTGGAATGGACTTGGAGCAGCCTGGGACAGTGGAAGGTGTCCCTGCCCTTGGGATTGGAAAAAGAGGAGGTTCAATATTCCTTCCAACCTAAACCAGTCTGGGATTCTTTGAAAACTCACCCCCTGTCCATCTGCCATCCCTTCAGCTTTCTAACATTTATTATCCCCATTATGTGAAGCTTTGGAGAGGGGCTGCTGGCTCAGCCAGGCCGTGGCACGTCAGGTCACGCTGAAATCCTCGTTCCTCGAACGATTCCCGAGCTCAGCCCTGATGGGTCACTCCAAAGCTCTGCCTGGCTGCTGGCTGACAGGGGCTGGAGCCTTAGGAAAACACTGCAGGAATTAGGGCAGCACAGCCTGCTCTCTGTGTCAGTGCCCTGATTTGTGGTGGAGCTGTGCAGCTTTGCTGTGTTTTTCCTGGAGTGATTCAGCCGAGGTGAGGGAGCGCTGCCAGGAGGATCCCACAGCCCCTGCCTGCCAGGGCAGAATCTGGGATCAAAGCAATCAAACTTGCTGCCCTAAGAAATCCCAGCCTCCTGAGAAGCTCAGCAGCCACTGGAATTTGTCCTGGACTTTTATGGAAAAGCTTTCATCCTGTTTGTTGTCTGTAGGATTCTTCCTGATGGGCGAGACTGGGGGATTCAGTGGAGTAACTCCACTGTGCTCCTTTAGGAAAGACAAATATTATTGTGAAGTGGGAAGAGCAAAGCAGAGGAAATGTGACTGATGACCATGGCAGAAACTTCCACCTGTTTACTCTCTGATCCCAAAGCATTTTCCCATTTTTAGGGAGTCTGTTTATCTGGCACTGATGGGGCTTTGGGGCTGAACACAGACACTTGGACCACGTAGGAAACTTTTGCCTTTTATTTTCAACACCACCCTCCAGGGGCCTCTGTACAGAACCAGAGCAGGGAAAGCAGCCCCTATAAATGAGTGTTGAAGTGGGGGTGAAGCAGTTATTGTCACAGACACGGTGTCTAAATGGGGCAGGGAACGTCACTGTCACACCTCTCAGGGCTGTCCTCACCACGACAGCAGCAGCGTGGTTCTACATGGGTGAGCTCATCCTCCAAATATCCCTCCGTAAACAAGGGCAGATTTATTTTTAGCGTAATCGCTGGTCAAAGGGAATCCTGCTCCGAGCTCGCTGCCCTGAGGATTCACTGGAGGTGCTTTCACTGGCTGAGTTGGGAGTTTTGCTGGGAGACAGTCCCTGTCTTTCCTTGTCCCCTGTAGCACTCTAAGGTCACTTGGTTAAGCTGTGTTTCCTCCTCGCTGCTGTCTGACCGTGTCCCTTTGCCCTGTCCCCAGAGGCAGACATGTCCCAGTGTCCCTCTGTGGGGACAGAGCTGTGACCCCACAGGACAGGGCTGCTCCAGGCTGGGAGCCCTCCAGGCCTGTCCCTGTCCCATATCTCCTGGAGGGGCCTGGCGCAGGGACAGTGGTGTGGCACACTGTCACCACAGTCACTCACCCCTGCTCCTGGCCAGAGCCCAGCTCGTGCTGTCCTGTGACCCCAGCACGGCTCTGCTTCCCCAGAAACAGCTCAGGGTCATTTCAGCCACGTCCCAAAGGGGCTCCAAGGGCACGGTACCAAATCCCTCTCCAGTCCCTGTTTGCTGCTGGCTGTCACCCCTGTGGGATGGGTTGGATCATGTCCTTTCCTCCCTGCCACACGCAGCTCTCACTCCTCCACACTTGAGGTGTTCCTGTGTTGGAATGGCAGCAGATCCTGGAGATGGGAGGGTGGGGCAAGGAGCCAATGATCCTGGAAGCTGTTGGATCCTGGGACACTGGCACAGGCTGCCCTGGATCCCTGGCAGTGCCCAAGGCCAGCTTGGAGCAGCCTGGGACAGTGGAAGGTGTGTGAAGGTGTCACTGGATCTGTGAGACCCTTCCAACCCCACCCACTCTGGGATCAGCTCCGGGCTCTAAAGTGGGCACACAGCTCCAGCTCACACCCTCAGGAGAGGCACTGGGATGTTTTGGGGAGCAGCTGCTTGGCTCTGATCAAGAGCTCCTGTGAAAAGGAGCTGCAGGCTCTGGGAAAGCTTTTGCACGGGGGCGGAGGGAGCTGGGAAAGGATCCTGCAGGGCAAAGCCTCCAGCTCCAGGAGGAGGTTTGGGATCTGCTCCTCCCTGAGCTGCTGGTGAGTGCTCAGGCTGGGGCTGGCCAGGGGACAGCCAGGGGGACAGCAAGGGGTCACTGGGCTGGAGGGAGGGCAGCCAGCACGTGGGCACTGTCACCCTCAGTGTGACATTGCCTGTGTCCATAACAAGCAGCAGGCTCTGGGGAGGGAGCAGGGCACCAAAATAGTCAATGATTTGTGAGGGCAGCAGAGCTTTGCCATTATTTGCTCTGCAGCAGGTGAAGCTCAAGCAGGAGCAGAGGCTTTAATCAAAGCCTAGTTCAGGCTGTGCTGTGCCTGGCAGGAATGTCACACTGCCAGGAGTGGGATACAGAGGAGCTGGGGGGAAATGTGGCAAAAAAAAATACCAGGAATTAATCCCCAGTAGTTGCACTAACCACAGGGCAACTTGTGGGCAGCAGGAGCTTCTCAGCAAGCAAATACTGCTGGGGGGCAGTGCCATGCTGGGAGAGCCTTTCCTGCATCCCTAGGGAGCCCTGGCACTGCCCCACAGCGTCCCTGGCACTGCCCCGAGCAGGGATGGGTTTTTCCCCAGCTCCCCTTCCCACCTGCCCCAGTGCCCTGCAGGTTTTTGTTTCTGGCCCAGGGGCAGGGCACGGCCATGGTGCTGTGGCCTCAGAGCCTTTGGGGTGCTGCTGTTATAAAATCACCACAGATCAGTCCTGGAGGCTCAGCCTGACATCCCTGAGGGGTTTCCACACACCAGCAGCACCAAGTTGGGCTGATGGGACAGGCACTTTGGAGCTGGGGGCTGCAGTCAGTCCTTTATTTACAAGCCCTCAGGAGTGTTTTCCAATGGAAAAAGTGGCATTGCCACTTCTGGAGCATGGAGCAATGCCATTCCATGCCCCAAGGACCACAGGCATTATTCAGAGCACTTAGTGCCAAAATAAAGGTGCAATTGAGAAGTGTGAGGCTGCAGAGCTCTCAGTGAAATTCTCTTCTGGAAGAGGCTCTCGTTGGTTGTTTTAGCAAAAAGGAATCACTGAATGGTTTGGGTTGGAAGGACCTTGGAGAACATCTCATTCCACCCCCTGCCATGGCAGGGACACTGTCCCAGGGTGCTCCAGGTCCCATCCAAGCTGGCCCAAGGGATCCAGGGGCAGCCACAGCTGCTCTGGGCACCCAGGGCCTCCCCACCCTCACAGCTTGGAATTCCTTCCATGTATCCCACCTAAAGATTCCCTGTGATTTTTGGCGCATTTGCTGTGTCTCCCTGGGTGCTGACCTTGTCCCTGTGTGTCCCCTCAGTGCTGCTGACAGCTGTGAACTGCTACAGTGTCAAAGCTGCCACCCGTGTGCAGGACGCCTTCGCTGCGGCCAAGCTGCTGGCGCTGGCTCTCATCATCATCCTGGGCTTCGTGCAGCTGGCAAAGGGTGAGTTCTGCTCCTTTTCCTCCTTCTGGGGCTGTGCAGGTAAAGCAGGATGAGGGCCAAAGCCCAGGAGTCCAACCCCAGGTATTCCAGAGCTTTACAAACCTCCTTGTTCTCTCAGATGCTTGGGGGATGTTCCCAGCTTTGCCAAAGGCTGGGGTTTTGTATTTGATTTGTGGGGTTTTATATTTTATATCACTGTCAGGCTTGATTTCATGCTCCTGAAACCACTTAAAGTCTTTCCCACTTACACAGAGACTGTGGCTTCTCCCTTTGGGATTGAAAATGTTGGTGCTGCTGCACTGGGAAATCTCTTTGTAACATTTTACTCACAGAGAATTATCTGCATGTGCAAACCATGCCCAGTCATCTTAATCCTTCCACAGACTCCCCCTGCACATTTCCCTTCATCCTGTTCCAGGTGTGCAGTGGCTCAGGCCAGCTCTGGGTCACCCAGGGACACAGAGCCCATGAGGAACAGAGACTGGAGCTCTCAGCTGGCACTGGCACCTGGAAACGGAGATAAAAAAGGGAAGACAAAGCAGATTTTCTGGTGGTTCTGCTGGTTTGCTTCATGCACCCATAAAATCCTCTCAGAGCAGGGAGATGGTTTGTTCCAAACCCATCTGAGTTCGTTCCAAACCTGATTAACTCACAGTTAAACCAAAGTGTGGCTTTTTTGTGCAAGTTTTGTGGGAATAAATGTTTCTTGGGGAACAGTCCTGTCCTTGTTTGCTGAAAGGGGAAAAAATCTCCAGGGGCTCCTGTCCCTGCACAGGGTGTGTCTGTGTGTGCTCGTGGGTCTCTAATTCCTGTCTCAGCTCTGGGAGCCAGTGCTGTCTTTGCAGAATTTCTTGCTTTGTCAGAGGTTTTATTTTCTTCCAGCTCAGTGCAGACACTCAACAGGGACATTGTTTGAGGCTTATCACAAAACACACCTCCTCCCTCTGCCCAGCTCCCCAGCCTGCTCTGCTGGACCTTTTGATTCCCTCCCAGGAGGAAAAGGATAAATCATGATAAATCTCTTTTAGTTGGTTAACATTTTACCATGAAGATCTTTACAACTGGGCTTTGTTTGCAGATAGAATCTTAATTTGCATCTTCAGAATGTGCTGTGCTTTTGGCCTTTTTGGGGAGTCTGAGCCACTTTCTGCCCTGCTTCCTCAGGTGGAAATCCATGAGGTTTCCCTTGACTTCTCTGTAACCCAGAAGGGATTTCTGCCCTGTTACAATAAAACCCCCCTTCCCCTGCTGTGTCCCAGGAGTTGTTTTATTTCCTTTGAAGTTCCAGGTGGTTGTGGCTGTGCAGAACTTGCAGGGCAGAGAATTCCATGTGATTTATTTTCCTGCTGATCCACCTGGCAGGGAGATCCAAAGCAATTCCTGGACAGTGATACCTGTCAGCAAAGACTTTTCTCCCTGTTTGGGCAAACCTGGCTGGGTCAGAGTGGCATCCTTGGGATCCACAGCAGATCCTGCTTCCCACTTTGTCCCAAGTGCCCATTCCTGCTTGTCCACAATTCCACAGCTGGGATTCTGCCTGGGCTCCAGCATGGATTTTATTAATCTCCTTAGGGAAGTTCCAGGCTCTCTGCTAAATCCTTAAGAATGGGCAAGCTCCTTTCCTGTCCCTTCCTCAGCTCCCACCTGCAGTTTGTACCTTGCTCCATTTTCCTTTCAATCATTCCAGGTCACTCTGTGCTTTTAGCAGGGATACAGCAAGAAATTGTCTCTTTTCTTCATTTTTTTAAAATTCAAAGCACAAAAATTCCTATTTCAGTGACAATGGGAGAGCACTGCCCTGTCCTCCAGCTTTGTCCCACATTTCCACACCCTGTGCCCATTCCAGTGTTGTTTTTTTTGGACAAAGAGGACTCTTCCCACCAGCAGCTGGGTGACCCCATCCAAGCTGGCAGCACTTTTGGGGTGAGATCTGCACCCAGCTGGTTTTCAGGGGATGGGCTTGTGTATTCTGGAGGTTCTGGACAATGAACTGGTTTTACTGGTTCCTGTCCCACTGCTGCTTTGTGTTCCCAGTATCCATAAACAGACCAGAGGAGCAACACCACATTTTTTGCTCAAATGTGGAAATTTCTGTGATTTCACATAAATCCCTCTGCTTTAACCTCCCACCTTCAGCCTTTGGCTTTTTCTCTTTTTATCCTCTGCTTGGCTCTGTTCCTGGTTTGCAGAAGAGCAGGGATCTCTCAAGGACAAAGGACTCTGTGGCAATTTTGCCCCACAAAAGAACATTTCCCTGTTAGCAGCTGCTTCCCATCACTCCTTCCCTGCCCTTTCCAAAGGAGCAGGCTGCAGGTTGGTTTCCTACTCAGCCTTTCAAGTGCTTGGAGGTTGACTCAGTGCTTGGGATGAAATTATTTTATTAATCAAAGAATGAAACTTTTAAAAGCCTTTTTGGGGCTGGAGATGTGTGGCTTGAGAAGTCCTGGATTTGGGTATTGGTTTGTAAAATCTTCTCTATGGCCCCCAGATTATAGCCTGCAAATAATAGAAATAAATTAATTAAACTTAAATCAATAATAAGTAACTTATTTAAATTACTTACTTATAGAAATTACTTACTTAAATAATAGAAATAACTTAAAACATAGAGAGGATCAGAGTTTTTTCTCTCCAGTAATAGGAAAACAAGATTTATTTTGGTTCTTAATTTACCAACTCTCTCAATTTGCTTTCTGTCCAGCTGGGTATTTTTTGGCCATATTCCACAGCTGGGGAGTGGGATACCTAGGCTTGGATCATGGAGAAGGTTTGGACAGCAGGTTTGAGGGATATTTTTGCCCTGGATGTGACACACAGGTCTGTGGTTCTATCTTCTCCATAGCCACGCCTTAAAATTTTCCTTAAAACTAACTAAGGTGTGAAATGGTCAAAAAATCTGGGTATTTCTTAAAGACACCCTTGTGCTTTTTACAGGTGAGGAAGTTCAGGGAAGGTTTTGGTGTCAAAAAACTGGAAATAAACAAATCACAGACATGTTTGACATCTATTTATTCCTGTGGATGATGCCCCAGGGTTTCTGGAATGTTTCTGTGCCCTCAGGCAGCTGGAGCAGGGATGCAGCTCCAGCCCTTGCTGTGATCTCTCACCAGCAGCTCTGCTTAAAAACCTGGAACTGGGCCTTTGGGACTTAGAGAAATAGAATTTAACACTGATTTTATTGCTTTTATTGGATTTATTGTCCCTTTATTTATTGTCCCTTTTCTTTATCCTGGCTGTAAAATTCCTGGTGTGTGGTGCCTCCAGGAGCTGTTTGGTGGCAGCAGCATTTTTCTCCCTGCCTCCCTTCCTTGGGCTGTCAGGGATGCAGAGCTGCATCTGCCAGAGCAGCTCGGGGTTAATTAAGGACAGAGCAGGCAGGTTTAACTCCAGAGCAGAGCTCAGGCTGGGCAGGAGATTTGGGTTTAATTTGGGCTTTTTTTTTTTTGGTTGTTGTTTTTAGGTTTTTGTTTGTTTTTTTCGTTAAGGTTTTTGTTATTGAGGTTTTTTGTGGTTTTTTTTTTTTGTTTTGTTTTGTTTTGTTTGTTTGTTTGTAGAATGATGGAATAATTTGGGTGGGAAGGGACCTCAAAGCTCCTCCAGTCCCACCCCTGCCATGGGCAGGGACACCTTCCCCTGTCCCAGGATGCTCCAAGCCTGGGAGGAAAGCAAGAGAGACTCAATTTTCCTTCTCTCTCAATCATGGGATTCTTCACCCCCCAAAAAAAGGGCAGGGAAAAAAATGTGGACTGGAAACTACTAAAATAACCCCCAGGGAAAAATACAGAGGCCAAAGGGCTGTTTTGTAGCAAAAGGGATTTGGTAAATGCAAGCAGCACCCAGATGTCTCAGCCCCACAGTGCCAGACATTTCCTTGCACCTGGAGTACTAAAAATGGCATTTTAAAAGCCAAGCTCTGCTCACTGAAGGTCTGAATCATCCTTCTGGTACTTTCAGAACCCTCCCAGCAGTGTTCAGGATTTTCAGCCACAATATTACCTTCAAAGAGCTTTTTACAAGCAATATGGGGGTGGCAGAGCTGGCTGGGGTTGTGCCCTGGGGCAGAGCCTATCCAGGGGTATCCAGGGAAGCTGTGGCTGCCCCTGGATCCCTGGCAGTGCCCAAGGCCAGGCTGGTTGGGGTTTGGAGCAGCCTGGGACAGTGGAAGGTGTTCCTGCCATGGCAGGGGTGGGATGGGAGGAACTTGGAGGTGCCTTCAACCCAAAGCAGTCCAGGATTTCCATGGTCAGCCAGGGCTCCTGGGGGATGTCCCCACGCAGCCCAGCCTGGCTCCCACCAGGGATCCTCCAAATGGACAGGGAACATCCTGAGGGCACAGGAGGATGGCAGGGACAGCCCTCCCTGCTGCTGCTGTCCCCTGGCATCCCAAATGCCACCGCCTGCCATGCTTCTCCAGCAGGGAGCTTTGCAGGGACGCTCCTTCCTCATCCTCCCCTGGCAGCAGGGATGGGACAAGGAAAGCAGGGACAGCTGCCACACCGTGCCCCTGTAAATCACAGCAGCCTCCTGCTGCAGATTAATCAGATTAATCAGGTGTCAAACGCTTCTTTTCCTGACTCGGTTCCCTGAATTGTCCCCGTTTTTCCTCCTCCTTTGGGGCTCTGGGTGCAGACACCCCGTGCTGAGGGCCCCCCCTCCCCATGGCCGTGTTCCCTCTCCTCGCTGTTGGGGCAAGTTGAAAATATTTAATTATCCTGCAGTGCTTTGTGCAGGAGAAGATTGCTGTGCTATTAAAACCAGACTAGACATGACCGGGGAGCAAATGAACATTTGTGAAGTTGGGGCCCGGCACAGACACGCAGCCCTCAGCCGGGCCCTCCCTCAGCCCTCAGCAGCGGGGCCCCGGCTGACCCGGCACAATTACCGCACTCTTGGCAGCCGGAGGAGCCGCAAATGGGCTTTGTGTCACAGCTCGTTACCTTAATTTGGTTAATTGTAGAGCAGAGTGCGGTGGAACAGCCGGTTCAAACCAGGCTCGGGCTCTCCGGGGTGCCGGCCATGGGCAGGGCAGTGCCTGGAGGCCGGGATGAGCTGGGGATGCCCCAAGGCCGTGCTTGGCAGCCTCACCTGCACATTTGTAACTCTTAATTTCAGCCAGATCCAAAAGCCTGGGGCTGGAATTGTCGAGGCCTGAAGGATGGAGTGCCAGCACCCTCCATCCTCCCCCTGCACACCCCGGCTTCACAATGTGGGGTTGGATCAAAGGTCCAACCCGAAATAACTCCGGGGTTTTTTAGCAGGGCTTGTTCAGGGCATAAGGTTTTGAACTGGCAGCTTTAGATTAGATACAAGGAAGAATTCTTTTATGCTGTGGATGGTGAGATACAGGCACTCCTCTGGTTATTTAATTGTGTCCTGACATGTTGCTAAATCCATTTGACCTTGGGGCACAGAAATGGGAAATTTAACAACTCACTGGGAGGTTCTGGGGAGCTCCAGCTCTCCTAAGGTGAGGTGGGAAGGGCAGTGAGGTGCTGGCTGCCTCAGGACAAGGAGCATTTGGCCTGAGAGGGTTTTGCCTTTGACAGAAAAGGAGGATTTTGGAAGAAAGAAATGGAGTGCTGCTCCCAGATGGGAGCATCCTCCTGGGTGTGAAGGTGATGTTCCATGGATCAAGGTGGGAACATGGAGCCTCAAATCTTTGAGAAGAGATATCCCGAGGGCTGTTTGAAATGCTGGAGAGCCTCCTGCTCTCCCAGTCCATCCATGTGCTGTTGCAGTAGCTAATTGCAGGCACTGTGAACAAAATGTGTCTCTTATTCCCGTAACAAAAGGTCTGGAAAGAACCAGACTGGTAATTATTCAGAAAGGGCAGAAAATGAAGTGGGGAAAGCTGAGCCCAAGGGATGCAGGGGATCACATTCCACCCTCCTGCTCAGCCCTTTGATTCACCTGGGCTAAATTGGGATTCTGTGCAGAACCTGCAAGGCAGGAATTGAGGTTAAACTCAGCCTTTTATCAGTCTCTGCATTTCCTGGCTCTCCTCCTGCACTCAGATTTGTTTTTAAAAACGATTGGTGCATTTTGCTGAGGAGGATCAAATACATCCAGCACATCCCAAGGGAGATGCAGGGAAGACCTTTGTGATGCAAGGAGCTGCTGGGGAAGAGGTGCCTCCAGCAGAGAGCAGTTGGGATTGGGATCTGGGCAGGAGGAGCCTTGCACACCTGAGCTTTGTTGGAGCATCCCTGAGCCTTTCCAGCAGCACCTCCTGGGTGCCGAGGGATGAAGGGTTAAGCTGCAGGCCCTGCTGACTGCCTTGTGATGCAGTTGCTGGGGTGATTAGGAGAGCTCTGTGCCCTAAGAGGAATCACATGGGCTCCCCCTGGGTGCAGAGGTGCCCCTCTGGATCCCACCACATTCCCTGCACTCCCTCTGGGAGCGTGGCCATCCCTGTCCCACAGCCAGCCCCTCCATCAAAGACAGGGAACAAAACAACTGCAGAGCATTTGAAAGCAAAATAAATAAACCTGGGGCTGCTCGCGAAGAGCTGGGACCAGAGGCACAATCAGATCTTCTATTTCTGGCCTTTTCTTTCAAAAGCAGATCCACAACAGGAACTTTTGATCATCAGGCCCTAAAGAAGGTGACTTCTGATATCCAAACCCCCAGAACCTGACTTCCCTCAATCAAAGGGATTGCCACAGGCCTCTGCTTTATCAGGTGGCTGGTGGGACTGGAGGAAATCCTGGGTTTCTGGGGGTTTGGGTGGCTGGTGGAAGTGCAGGAAATCCTGGGGCTTTATCGAAGGCCAGCAGCCTGGAGTTGAGAGGACAATGTGACAATCTCTGTTTGCAAAGCATCTTCCAGCAGGAAGGTCCCCAAGATGTCCCTGGGACATCACCTTGGTGACAGCACGTCGCAGCGTGAGAAAGTTTGGAGGAGTCAGTCCTTGCTTGAGATGAGTTTTTGGGGTCGTCATGTGGGGTTGAACCCAGCTGGACTGATCCCTGGAAAACTGGAGGGAAAATGAGCCCGTGCTCAGCATAACCCAAAAAGCAGCAGGGTGATAATTAAAATAATTCCACCCTAAGAGCAGCTCTTGCCTCCAGGTTTCTCCGGAGGCCTTTGGGGTTCAGAGCCCGTGGCACTGAGCAGGGTTTGTGTCCTGCAGGTGATGTGGAAAACCTGACCCCTGAGAAATCCTTCGAGGGCACCAAGGTGGGCGTTGGGAACATCGTGCTGGCTCTCTACAGCGGCCTCTTTGCCTATGGAGGATGGTAAGGCACAGCCCCCTCTTCCTTCCACACTGAGCTCCATTCCAGCTCCAGTCCCAAACCGAAGCTCCTGCAGGGCTCCTTTGTCAGTCCTCTGAGCACCTGCTCTCAATTTGCTGTGAAAAGAAGCCACTTGTAGCCATCCTCATCATGCAATGGTTTGGGTTGGGAGGAACCTTCAGGATCATCCAATGGGCAGGAACACCTCCCACCATCCCAGGCTGCTCCGAGCCCTCTCCAGCCTGGCCTTGGACATCAGCCATCCCAAGTTTTCCCACAGGATCAGTGCCTGTGCCACTCCTGGAATCCCCGTGCAGATGAGTTAAACTGGAGGGGTTCATTTAACCAGAATTAACCCCTGTCCTTTTGAAATTACAGGAATTACTTGAATTTTGTGACAGAAGAGATGATAAATCCCTACAGGTAGGTGTGAGTCCTGGCATGACTTCCCTGGGGGAAAAGCTGCTGTTTTGGGGAAGCCCCTTCCTTGTGTGTTTAACAGAGAAGGAAGCCAAGGCCTTCATCTGGAAAAAGAGAAAACAAGATGAGTTAATGACCTTCCACCTCCCTGGAATCAGGGAAAGGGAACAATAATCCCTGCAGGAGCAGGGCTGTTGTTTTCCCTGCTCTCCTGTGCCCTGTTATCAGCGCTGGGAGAAACCTCTGCTTCCTTGGCCTGACACCTCAGTGAGTTATGGGCCAGGAAAGAGCACTCAGGGCTTTATTGCTGCCTTGCTTCAACTCCCACTGGGCATTTGTGCTGCTGTCCATGTGTTTGTGCTGCTCTCCATGTGTTTGTCCCGTGCTCTTCCCATCCTGTTGAGCAAGAGCTGCTTCCTGCTCTGCCCGTGCCTCTCGGGGTTATTTGGGGCCCTCAGCAGAGCAGGACAGTGCTGAGAAATCCTTTCTGGGATCCTGGGAAGGTGCCTGGGAGCTGCTGGGAGCTGAGCCTCGGGGGCACTTGTGCAAGAGCCCATCCTGGCTGACCCTGGGGGTGCTTTGGTCCTGCTGGGAAGCATGGGGCTGGATCCGCCCCTTCCCAGAGAAACAGCAAAAGGGGGGCTGCATTTTGCAATTATTTTCACGTCTGCTGGATGCAGTTGTGGTATTTGACTGTGCTCCTGCAGCTTGGAGCTCTGCTGGAGCAATTAGAGTGGCACCAAGCAGGGTTTCCTTTTGCACTTTCCCTTCACAAATGAAATTAAACTGTTGGGAAAGGCAAGTTTGTACCAACACAGGCTGTTCACAGACCTACTTAGGCTGTGCCTGAACTCCTTTTCTTTGAGTTCCCTCAGTCCAGACAGCTGAGTTTAGGTAGAGCCTAAAACTGCCCAGTGCATCCCTGAGATTCCCATCTCCCCCAGGAATCCCCCCAGCACAAGGGAGCTCCTTTGCCCAGAGAGAATCCCTGTGCTGGTGCCACTGGGTATTTTTAATTAAAAGTGATCTTGAATTCTTGTTTGCCCAGGCAGCCAGGGCCTCTCCATGCAAAAAATCCCTTCTGCCATCATCCTTGCCTCTCCATCTGCCTCTCCAGGCTGTTCAGGGGCCACGCAGTCCTTGAGGCTGGAAAAAGCCTTTAAGGCTGTGAACCAGCACCACGTCCACCACTAACCATGGCCTCAAGTGCCCAACTGTGCCACATCCACGTGTTTTTTAGGGATGGGGAGTCCCCCACATCTTGGGCAGCCTGTTTCCTTGTGGATATCCCCTGTCCCATGGGAGCAGTGTGTGCCTGGGATGCTGCACACCAGCAGAGAACAGAGTGGCTTAGGTGGCTGGCAATCCCTGGGACCAGCAGCTCCCTCCTGCGAGCTGCTCCAGGACAATGGATGTTTTTTTTTTTCCTAGAAACCTGCCCCTGGCTATCATCATCTCCCTGCCTGTCGTCACGCTGGTGTATGTGCTGACCAACTTGGCTTACTTCACCACGCTGAGCACCGAGCAGATGCTGACGTCCGAGGCCGTGGCTGTGGTAAGACCCCGCTGCTCCAGCCTGACTCATCCCAGGGCAGGTGAAATCAGCCTTGGAATCACTGCACACACCTCCTGCTTTGTTCCAGGCTGCTCAGGGCTGCTTGCAGAATCCCTGATGTTGAGCAGGAGATAAAGAGCAGGGAAGAACAGCGTGATCCTGAGGGGATTATCCTGGGCAGCAGTGAGGGTGGCACTCAGTGCTGCTCTTCATCCTGAGCTAGGGAAGGTTGCTGCTGGCCTTGTGACTGCCCATCAGTTACCAGAGCTTGATATTTGTGAGGAAAGGTCACTCAGTCAACACTGAACTGGATTGTTCTCTCTCTGTGTCTTCCTTGTTTTAATTAAGAGAGAAAAATAATACTTCTATTAGTTAAAATGCCAGTGTGGTCAGGAACCCTGATGGCTTCAGAAGGGAGCAGACCTTGCAGACTGAGCCTGACCAGGGTTGTTCAGGGTTTCAGGGGGAATCTCCCAGCCCAGCATGAGCTGAGCCCCTCAGGTGACACTGCTCCATCTTTTGGGTTGGGACTGAGGCCCTGCCACAGCGTGTGCTGCAGGGAATCCTGGAATGGTTTGGGTGGGAAGTGACCTGAAAGCTCATCCCATGCCACCCCCTGCCATGGGCAGGGACACCTTCCACTGTCCCAGGCTCTCCAAGCCCTGTGCAGCCTGGCCTGGAACAGCAGGGGCTGCAAATCAATCCTGTATTGCTGCAGTGGAGCAGCACAGGCTCAGCCTGCGACAAAAAGCTGCAGGGCCAGGTCCCTGAGTGTCCCCAGGGCTGGGTCCCAGCTCCTGACTCAGCACTTGGCAGGAGCTGCTGTCTGAGTTTGCTCCCAGTTTCCGTTTGGTCTTGAACTTTCCGATAGCTGGTGGATAAATGTCGTGTCCTGGCCCTGAGGGACAGGCTGGCTGCTGATGTGTTTTAGCAATTCCACAATCTGCTTTTTCAGGAACGGGGAGCAGCGTGTGGGAATATGGGAAACTGTCACAGCTTCAGCACTGAGCTGTGGCATTTATTGGGATTTCTCCAAATACTCTTTTTAGGCAGCTCTGAGTTTTCTGGGGCATTGTGAGTGTGAAATGTCTCTTGTTGTCTCCCATTTAGGATTTTGGGAACTACCACCTCGGTGTCATGTCCTGGATCATCCCTGTCTTTGTTGGGCTCTCGTGCTTTGGGTCTGTCAATGGATCTCTTTTCACTTCTTCCCGGTAGGTTCCTTGCTCAATCCTGTGGGTTTTGTTTACAAGCTGTGCTCAGTTCCTCACCCTTTGGAGTTCTCCTCCGGAGAGTGGCTGTGGGCAGACACAAAGTCTGGAGGGCCTGGAGGCAGGAAGACAAAGTCAGACTTAAAACCAGATTAAAGGCAACCTTTCAGTGGTGTCAATCATCTGTTCCTCAGGCAAAGTCCTGGTGAGGTCAATAAACAGAACCAGACACAGGCTGAGAGCTCGGGGCTGCTGAGAAAGTGCCTTTCATGGGAAGCAGAAAGTTGGGAAACTTCAGGGCCGAGAATCCCTCGGGAAGGGGTGAAAGGCTGGGCAGGGGCAGGACTGAGATGGTTCCGGCTCTGACACATCCCTGGGTTGCCTGAGGAGTCACTTAATTGCTGTCCCTGGAGAGCAGGGCAGAAATCCATCCTTCCTGCCTTCCTTGGCCATGTCCAGCCTCCCTGGTGAGCTGTTCCAGTCCTGCTGTTCCAGTCCTGCCTCGGGACCACCAGGGCTGAGCTGGGGCTGGCCCCACTTGTTCTGTGCAGGGCTGTGACTGGACTGTGTCCCCTCTCTGTGTCCCCTCCCAGGCTGTTCTTCGTGGGATCCCGAGAGGGGCACCTGCCTTCCATCCTGTCCATGATCCACCCCCGGCTGCTCACCCCGGTCCCGTCCCTCGTGTTCACGGTGAGCCCCGGGGCTGGGGGATGGAGCAGGGCTGGGATCCCCCTGGAATGGAGCCACAGCCATTCCTGCCTGTGCCCACCGGAGATGGACCCTTCCCATCGTGTCCTCATTGTCCCCTTCTGTCTTGAATTCTTCCCATCCCTGGAAGTGTCCAAGGCTAGGCTGGACAGGGCTTGGAGGAACCTGGGATAGGGGAAGGTGTCCTTGCCCATGGCAGGAGGTTGGAACTAGAGGTCCTTTAAGTTCTGTGGTCCTTCCAACCCAAACTATTCCATGACCCTATGAAATGGTTCCAGACACCAATTGAAAATAGCTTAAATAAGTAAAAAATAGTCAATGTGATCCCTTTCCTGGCAGGTATTTCCCCTAAATACCCCCATTTAGTGTTGTAACACAGATGGTTTTGTCTGCTGCCTTTCCTAATGGCCTTTTCCCTGGATTCAGTGTGTCATGACCCTGCTCTATGCCTTCTCCAACAACATCTTCTCAGTCATCAACTTCTTCAGCTTCTTCAACTGGCTGTGTGTGGCCCTGGCCATCATCGGGATGATGTGGCTGCGCTACAAGAAGCCAGAGCTGGAGAGGCCCATCAAGGTGAGAACGGGGTGGCACTGCCAGGGGACCCCTCCCCAGCTCCCTTCCCAGCCCAGGGGAGGCTCAGCTGCTGGTCCTGCATGGAAAAGGCTGGGATTGCAGGGCAGTGTTGTGTTGTAGCTAAAGGAGGTGTCCCTGCTGCTGAATGCATGCAGCAGCACAAAGAGCTGCCTTGGGGACAGCACAGTGAGGGAGCTCTGGGTGCCAGGGACAGGGTGGGATTACTCTCCATGAGTGCCAGGACAGATCCCAGGCTGTGGCTCTCAGTGTAACACTCTGTACCCCCATGGAATTCCCCTAAAATAGTTTTCTGCTAAAGCAGCTGAGCTCTGTCCCTGGTGTCCTTGGCCAGCTTGGCAGCCCCGTGTCCCATCTGGGGGGAGGCCAAGATCCTGTCAGCCCCTGGTGCCTCTCCCCCAAAAGCTGTTTGTCCCTCATCCCACGGCACACTCAGGTCCGTGCCAGGCAGCAGCACCCACAGGGAAACAAACCCACAGGCCTGGACTGGTGCCTTCCCAAAGGGAATCTTTGCTGGCTCTTCCCTTAGGTTTTGGGGTTTTCTTCTCAAAGCTGGGCTGCTCTGGTGGGTGCCCTGCTTGAAGTCCCCTGGGAAACAGCCCCAGCTTGTGCTGAGCCTCTGCTGGCTGTTGTGTTTGGTGCTGATGATTTGGATGTGGAATTATGGAACTGAGATCCAAAAGGGTGCTGAGAAAGCCTCTTGGCCATGGGGGAGCAATAATTCTGTCCCTCCCAGGCTGGATAAACTCCTGGAAAGCCTCCCTAAGCTGTGCCTTGCTCCCTGCTCAGGTGAACATCTGCCTGCCCATCTTCTTCATCCTGGCCTGCCTGTTCCTCATCGCCGTTTCCTTCTGGATGACGCCCAAGGAGTGCGGGATTGGCTTTGCCATCATCCTCAGTGGGATCCCCATTTACTTCTTCGGGGTCTGGTGGCAAAACAAGCCCAAGTGGGTTCTGCAAGGCATCTGTGAGTATCTCCAGGGAGGAGGAGCAGCTTTGGCTCCCAAAAAGTTTCCCAGTGCTGTGCTGTAGCTGGCAGTGCAGGCTCTCGTCCTCTGGAGGAGCTTCCAGCATCCTGGCCCTGCTCCATTCTTCTTTCATGGGAACAAGTTTATCCTGATGATTGCCATGTGTGCCAAGCATCCAGAATGCAGTAATGGCAAAGTCTGGGGCCAATACCATGTTTTTGGGGGGGTTTAATCCTGCCAAAGAGGTTGTTAGCAGCAGAACAAAATTCCCTGCTCCTGGAAGAGCTCGGGGCCAAGCTTGTGCTCAGCAAAGAGTCCCTTCCAGTGGTGTAGGAAGGATTGAGCACAGCTGGCCTCAGTTTGACAGCTGAAAATCCACAATTAGTCCCAACCCATGGCTTAGGCAGTGCTGACATTTGGGATCCAGGCTAAGCTTTCCTTGGCATACCCCTGTGGCAGCAGAGCAGAGGGAAGGGAAGCTCCCCTGGATGCTTTCTCTCAGGTTTATTTTTAAGATATCTGCTCCAAGGCTTTCCACCAGCTGCCACAAGGCCAGGGTGTGTTTGGAGGGATGCAGAGGCTGTGCTTGGCACACAGAACCTCAACAACTGAGCCCAGAAAGTCAGTCCCTGCTGCCCAAGTAACTGAGCTCAGCAGCTGCCTCCCTGCTCTGCTGCAAGGGGCTGACCTAGAAAAGCAGGCAAGGAGAAGTGCCCAGCCTTAGCTGGGTGTTTCATGAGGAAGAGAAAAGCTTTCAGCAGCACTCAGCACTTGTTATTCTTATTTTCCCGTCTCTCTCTGTCCTTCTGTCCCACACTCACTTTTTTTTCTCCTGGGTATTAGGCTCAGTTCCTGGAAAAGCCATTTTTGCAATGCCTGGGTGGTAAATTACCATAATCATTGTTTTCCTCCATCAGAGGATTGTAAGGAGAATATTGAAAATATTCCGGGAACAGACAGTGATAATTTTGCAGATGTCCAGTGAGAAACACGGGAACTTTAGAAGGATTTATTGATACATTGCAGATAATCTGATCACCTCTAACTGATCTGAGCCTCACTTGGTTGTGCTTAGGATTAGTTTTGCCATGCAGGAAAGGTTTGTGATCTCCAGCCAGGGTGGAGCAGCAGGGAGCAGAGGAGTCAGGGTGGGGAGGCAGAGGGCTCAGCCCTTCCCTCGTGGACCCAGGTTTCTGCTGGGGGTGATCCCTGACCTTTCCTTTGCTTTCTCTGCAGTCTCCACCACCGTGCTGTGCCAGAAGCTGATGGAAGTGGTTCCTCAGGAATCCTAGGCAGGAGCAGCAGGGACTCTGAGCTCGAGGAAACGCACAACGTTGTTCTGAGATGACACAAGGATCCCACCCCTCACTCCCCAGTCCCTGGCACCGGAGCTGCCTCCTGCTGCCACCACTGCCCCGAGGCTCTGCTCAGCTCCTGCAGCCCCTCCAGCCCCTCCCAGCCCTGCAGAGCAGCCAGAAGTCCTTGGTACGAGCCAGGAGGAGGAATTCCAAAGGGCACTTCCAGGGGGGTGCTGCCAGTGCCCTCTGTGTGTGTGTGAGGGCTGTGCCAGGCTCTGGGGGCTCCTTTGCTTTGGCTCTGGGATCTGCTGGAGCCTGCTTTGAGTGTTCAGAGTGCCTGGGGGGAGCTGGGGCTGCCACGGATTCCTGGGGGGTTCTGAGCTGCCTTACCTGGCCCGGGTGGGGGTGGGAAGCAGAGGTTGGCTGATGTTGTCTCACTCCCCCAAACCCACACCCCCATGTGCTGCTGGACACTGGACGTGGGGGGGCCTCATCTGAGTGTCACTGTGCTCCTCACTCGGGGCCCCGCCACCCTTTGGATTTGGATCACCACTCTCAGATCCAAGCCAGCTCCCTGCTGCTGAGCCAGTCCTCCAGGATGCTCTTCCCCACAGTGCCCATCCCTGGGAATGAGCACTGAGGGGGGAATTCCTGCTGGGAAACCCAGGAGCTGCAGTCAGCTGAGGCCAAGTCCTTGGCTTGCTCATTCCATGCTTTTCTGTGCCAGGCTTTCATCCAGCATGGGATGAGCAGCTCTGTGCTCTCTCTCCTCATGGCCCTGCTCAGGGAGCCATGTTTGCCCCATAACCATCAGCAGAGAGAAATAAAGGGTGGGGATTGCCCTGGCACATTCCCTGGGGTCTCTCCGTGCACTGCCTGGCGCTGTTCCCTTTGTCCTGCTGTGTTTCCTCTGGAATGTGCCATGGAGATGGGATCAACTGGCTCTGGGCTGTGGAGAAGGGCAGATGCTCTGGCTGGCTGGAGCCCCCTTGGGCTGCTGGAGATCATGGAATGGTTGGGTGGGAAGGGACCTTACAGCCCATCCAGTGCCACCCCTGAATGGCAGGGACACCTTCCACTGTCCCAGGCTGCTCCCAGCCCTGTCCAGCCTGGCCTTGGGCACTGCCAGGGATCCAGGGGCAGCCACAGCTGCTCTGGGCACCTGTGCCAGGGCCTGCCCACTTCTGAATAAGGAAAGTGAGCTCTGCTCTAAGGAGCAGGGCCTGGGGCTGATCCTCCTTCGTGCACCAGGTCTGGCTTGCTGAGATCCCAGCACCACCCTCCCGTTCCAGGAGCAATCCCTGAGCACAATCCATGATCTGCATGTGAAATCCTGGTTTGCTGCTGTGGGTGGTGCCATCCCATCCCTGAGCACCCCCAGAATTCCTGTAGTTCCTGAGTAGTCAGCACTGTCCCCTTAGGGACACGTTGCTTCCTTTGGTCCAAAGTGTCACCTTTTGGAAAGCTGCAGTTCCTGAACCATTTGCTCATTGTGCCTCTGTGCTCTGACATCACCTGGAATTCTGGAATTCATTCTCACCTGGAATTCTGACCTTTCCCCACTGGAGCTGCTTTGCTGTCTCTGTTGCAGATCTTTGTGCTTGTGCTTTGTGCAGGTGGCTTGGTGAACTATTTCCCATTTTTTTTAATCTTGGTCGTTGGGAAGCCGGGGTGCTCCGGGAGCTGTCGCTTCCCGTGGGTTCCCCTTGGAGCAGAGTTCTTTGGGGTGAAGGGGCATTAAGGACACCATGGTACTCCTCAGGCTTTGTCCTGGGAAGTTCTGCAGCACTGCAGGTGTGTTGGGGCAGGGGCAGCTCCTGCCCAGCTGTGTGGCCGTGTCCAGGTGCAGCTCCACACTCCCTCTTTGCCAGCCCCGTGTCCTGCTCCGAGGCAGGAAAAGGGGAGACAATCAGCTCTTTATTCCATGGCAGCTGGGGTGGAGATTCCCAAATGAGCTCAGTGACAGTGTGGAGATTCCCAATGGCAGTGTGGAGATTCCCAATGCAGCTTTCTGGGAGCTGAGTTAATCCATGAGGATTTGCAGCTGCTTTGGGAATATCCAGACAGCTCAGTGACAGTGTGGAGATTCCCAATCCAGCTCAGTGACAGTGGACATTCCCAGTGACAGCGAGGAGATTCCCAGTGACAGTGTGGAGATTCCCAATGGCAGTGTGGAGATTCCCAATGCAGCTTTCTGGGAGCTGAGTTAATCCATGAGGATTTGCAGCTGCTTTGGGAATATCCAGAGGGCAGACCCCAAGGTTTTTGGCCAGTGCAATGAGTTGGAGCATCTCAGATCCAATGCCAGTGGAGAGGCTTTGGCATAAATAAGGTCCTGAATCACAAAACCTGAACTCAAGTTTTGGCTTCTTCCAGCTGACGGCTGAGATGGTTTTGAGCTGATCACAGCTCCTGCTGGACCTGCTCCATGGAGAGGGGACCTCTGTCTGTCCTGCAGCCACTCAAGCTGCAGTTTTTGTTGGCTGTGAGGTCTCAGGCAGCTCCTGCAGGGCCTGGGTTCAGCATGGGGCTCTCAGTGCCAAAACCCACCAGCAGAATTCCTTGGGATGCAAAGCAAAGGCATTGGAATCTCAGCACCTCAGCCCAAAGTCAGCTGGCACCAAGGAGTCAGCTCTCTCCACAGAGAGCTCAGGACTGGGGCCAGACCTCCCAAAGGCTGCCTTGGACACATTGTCCATCAGGTGATGACCATCCCAGTGTCCTCCTGGTGACCCTTTCACACTGCTTTGAAAGAGGAGCTGTCACACTAAAAAGTATTTTTTAAGCAATCAATGGATTTTAATTAAATCCTTAACTGGCTTGCTTTGCTTTTTGTGGGTTTCCATGATTTTTCACTTGCTCTTGAGGATTTTCTCTTGTACTAACCTGAAGCTCTGATCCCACCTTTGTGGGCATCTCATCAGCATCTCCTTGGCAATAGAGGTTTAGGAAGAAACTGAACCAGGTACCAGCAGAGAGCCACAAAAAGGCTGAATTTGGTCAGCCACAGCTCACGTCTCAAAGCTGATCTTCCAAAAGCTGATTTCTTTCACCCTGGAGTCATTGACCCCCATAGCTGCCCTCCACCAGAGCTTGGTGGCACGGCTGGAAGAGCTTGGGTTGGATTTTACTGGAGGTTTGGTAGATAATGAGGGAAGGGGTAAAACTGAATTTCATTTTAGAAAGAAAAGTAGTTTCTGCAATCATGGAAATGACAGCCTCTGCTGTCTGGTGTGGCAGCTTTTCCCTTGGATCAGCAACATCTGCCCCCATCTTGTGCTGTTCTGATGGGTTTGGGTATGGAAAAGGGAGAATTCACCCCTGGGAAAGAGCTCCTTGCTGCTTGTTTTCCTCAGACATGGAGTGAGATGTGTCAGGGAGGCCAGAGGAGCGACAGTTCCCAGTTTCCCATCCTTCCCAGCACTAGAGCTGGGATTTTTCCTGTTGTTTCTCTGTCGTGCTCTTGGGAGCCTGTGGTCAGACAGGGAGGGAGGTGAACCCTCCCCACAAGGACCCTGCGAGCACAGTGACCTACAGGAGGTTCCACAGGAATCTGTTCCTTTGACAGCTCCTTGCAAGTCCAGCTGGAGCTGCTCTGTCCATGGAATTGAGGTTGGAAAAGACCTTGAAGGTCACGGTGCCATGGCTGACCCCAGCTTCCAATTCCTGCTCCTCTGCAGTTGTTTCAGAGTTCAGGCTCCCAGGCTGGCAGCTGTTTGGGTGTTCACAGAATTGCATCCTGCAGGGATTGCTAAACAGAGCAGGAGCTGCTGGCCAGGCACTTCCATACCCCTTGGGTTCCTCTTTCTAAATGAGCCCTTCCTCCCGCTGGGAGGGGAACCAGCCCTGCAAGAACCAGGGGGATTTATGTCATCGTGATGGGCTTGTAATGATTTTATTTTATTTTAAACTTCCTGCAGAATTGGCAGTGGTTTCCCTCTCAGACACCGTGTTCTGGTAAACAGGCTTTTGTTTGGAACGGCCCCTCGGTGGCCACGGAGTTCAAAGGGACTCTGGCACAGTTGAACAAACTTTAAAGGCCCTTCAGCAGGGTTGGAACTCCTGGGAAGTGGCTTTGTTGTTGTCCAAGTCCTCTCCCAGTTGGTGGCTCAGGCAAGGGAACAAGTTGGGCTCCTCCAGGGGCTGCTCCGTGGTGGGTCTGGGCAGGGGCTGTTCCTTGGAGCTGTGACTTCCCAAGCCTGCAGAGATATTCCCAGTGGCAGAGCCCTGGTGTGGCTGCAGGGAATCCCAGGGAATGTTTCCACCCAGTCTGGGCAGGTACCTGTGCCTTCAGCCGAGGGCACGGCGCTCTCGGGTTCTAACAGAAAATCAAATTACAAAAATCCTTGAGGAAACTGCCAAACATCGTCCTTACACAACTTGGGGCTGCTCCCGTGGGCTTCCAGCTCTTCCTCCATCCACTCTGCAGCCTCATGACATGAAATTGGGAAAGGGCTGGAAGAAAGCAGCTCCTGGAGCTTGGGAGAGGGCAGCCCCAGGGCAGGGCTGGTGCCGAGCTCTGGCTGTGATGCCAGGGATTGAATCCCAGCCTGGGATGAGGCACAGCCAGCCACGCCTGGCTGCCAAGGAGGGAGATCCTGCAGGGCTGGGAATCTGCTCCTCATCCCTGCAGGGCTGGGAATCTGCTCATCCTGCAGGGCTGGGAGTCTGCTCCTCATCCCTGCAGGGCTGGAAGTCTGCTCCTCATCCCTGCAGGCTGGGAATCTGCTCATCCCTGCAGGGCTGGGAATCTGCTCATCCCTGCAGGGCTGGGAATCTGCCCCTCATCCCTGCAGGGTGGGAATCTGCCCCTCATCCCTGCAGGGCTGGGAATCTGCCCCTCATCCCTGCAGGGCTGGGAATCTGCTCATCCTGCAGGGCTGGGAATCTGTTCCTCATCCCTGCAGGGCTGGGAATCTGCTCCCTGATCCCTGCGAGGACATCCTGGAGCCCTCGGTGCTGCGGGAAGCTCCAGGGCTCCTCATTCCAGGTGTCTCCTTGAGGAGTTACACCCAGGATTGTGCTGGCTTTGCCTGGGCTTGAGTTCTTCCCAGTTGGAACTGGAACTGGGTTGGGGATGTGTGGGGGATGCTGCTGGTGCAACCAAGAGCTCCCAGGTTGGTGGTGCAGTGGTAGGAAACGTGGCTGGGGGTCGGTGATCCCAAAGGATCCCATATCCAGAGGATTATTCCTTACCTGAGAAGGGGTGTTGCTTCCTCCAGCTGTGGAAGTGGTAATGAGTAAAAATAAAAAGTATTTTTTTAAACACTGAATTAATTTCTAGACTGCCTAAAAGAGACTTTATAGCTACACCTGAGTTCTTCCCCAGGGCTGACGCTGAGCCCAGCACAGGGGCTCTCCCTCGTGCCAGGTCTGGCTGTGCTGGGATCAACGGCAGGCAGGGAAAAACCTCCTGCTTTGTTCAGGGGAGCTCCAAGTGCCACCAACATCCTTGGAGAGGGAGGATCTTGAGTGGTTCCCAGACCTTGCTCCCACCCTCAGAACAAAGGGAGGGCGACCTTCACTCCTGGTGGAGAATCTGACTTTTCAGAGACTTTGCTTTGTATTTTTGTTGTTTTTTTTAAACACAGGAAAAAAAAAGGCTCTTAACATACACAAGAAAACCTGAACCTGATTTACAATTTTGTTATATTTGGTTGCTTTAAAAAACCTGTTTTACTAATGTAAATGTATCTGTAGATGACACTATATTTATTTGAAAGGGGTAAATATCTTTTAGTCTTAATTCTTCTCCAGCAAGCGCTGTGTGTTCCCAATGTTTGTGTTCCTGGCAGCACAGCAATTCCACTGACTGAGGGCTGGCCAGCCAGCAGCTCCTGAATCCAATGGCCTTGGACAACAAGATGTCTCTTGCAATGTAATTTTTTTTTTGTAGTATTTCTTGATTCTTTTATGTCTGTGGTTTAACAAATCTGTTCAATGTTTGGGTTGTTCTATGTTTTGGGTTGTTTTGTTTTGTTTTTTTTTAACAAAGAAAGCTGAATTACAACACTCTGGTTGCTGGTCTTTGCCTTGAAATGTTTTCTTTTTCCATGACTATCCCACGTCCATCAGCACCTGGTTTCCAGATATTCCTCTTGCAGCTCGATTTAGGAGCAGTGAGAGCATCCATGCCTCCATCTCCATCCTCCTTTTTAAATTCTAGGTCATTTTCCTGAGGTTAAAACTAAGGGAATGGGGAAGTGGGAGAGCTTTGGGCCCTCCAGGAGGCAGCGGGGTGAATATCCCAATTCCCAGGGTGTGTCCATAGATCTGTGCAGCAAAAGGAATGCCCAGCAGTAGGAAGGGACCAAGTTTTTATGGGAGAAGTGCTGCATTTCCTCTTCCCTGTGCATTCCAGGCTGGAGAAGAGGAGTTTCAGTGGGAAAGGAGCAGGGCAGGGATGCTCAGGCTCCCAGGGCTTGGTGGAGGATTTGATTTTGGGTTACAGAGGGCAAAACTCCCAAGGTTTTCCTTCCTAAAGGAGAGGGTGGTGCTGAGGGACACAAACACATCCCAGAGGAAGAAACGGGCAGGAAAAGCTGTGGAGAAATCCCAGTGAAGTGGGACTTCAGTGGTGCCACCTGGGCTGAGCAAATGTCACACAAATTCCACAGCCAGTTCAGGAGTGACAAGGAGGGACTCACTGAGCTTCCCATGGGGTTTGGAAAAGGGAATTTGGGAGAGAGGGAGCACTGACAGAAGCAGTTACTGACAGAGGGAGGTCTGCAGAGCTCACCCAGGGATCATCTCCTGCACACGGGGCCTGGAAAAGGAGATGGGCAGGCTGGCAGAGCCTGGAGAACGAGGAAATACAAAGGCAGGGAGTGAAATCCCACTGGATCCGGGCAATCCTCAGATCTGTGGGATGCTGCTCCTGCCCCACCAGTGACCCCTCCAGGGCTGGGCTCTGGTGGGAGCAGGAGAGGACCTGGACACCCAACAAAGGCAGGAAGTGTCTGCACAGCCTGGGGCTGGGGATGTGCTCAGTGCTTTGTGCACTGAATTCCCACAGCACACACAAAGGGGTTTTTTATG